GGAGGCTGAGGCAGGAGGATTGCTTGAGCCCAGGACTTTGAGGTTGCTGTGAGCTAGGCTGACGCCATGGCACTCTTGCCAGGGTAACAGAGCAAGACTCCGTTTCAAAAAAAAAAAAAAAATGACTTCAGTCTCAGGTGATGCCCCTTACCTACTAGGGTGTGGCTTTACTCTTGGATTCATCTGATTAACTAACTCTTAAGCAATAATCACAGCATTGTACAGCCTAGTGCAAACTAAAGGGACCTGTAGTTCATATGCTGTCTTCTAATTTTTCTCAAGATAACAACAGCCAGTCTTGCATGAATGCTTATTACATGCATTAGCCTGATAACTCCATGTTACAGATGAGAAAACTGAGACTTAGAGAAGTTAAACAAGTGGTAGAGCCAAGCCTAAATTCATGTCTGTCCTACTGTAAATCCCAAGCAACTCGGAGTCATCATGTTATACGGCCTCTCACATGTTTCAGGAATGTATTTTTAGTCTTCCTTAAAGCTTGTAAACAGTTGCAAAACAAATTTCATGCTTCCTATTTATTTGAAACCTCAGAATTCTTCACTCAGAGGCAAGCACAGAATAGGTGTTCAATGTTTGTTGGAGGATCTCTTGAGCCCAGGAGTTTGAGGCTGAAGTGAGCTACGATGACACCACTGCACTCTACCCAGGGTGACAGAGTGAGACTCTGTCTCAAAAAAAAAGAAAGACAGAAAGAAAGAAATCAAACCTCCCTCCTCACTTCCCCCACTTTAAAAAAGAAAAAACTCCACCTCCAATCCCAATCTTTCTCCTGGGATTAACTCTGTGTACATGAATCTGCCCTTCAGACCCCCCCTCTGGGCGTCTCAGACACCTAAGTGTGACCATCATGAGATCTCCCCCAGCCAGACCCACTCTTCCTCCTGTGTTCTCTTTCCCCATGAATGGAACTCCTTCCTCCTAGAACTCAGAACTCCTGGAACTCAGCCTTGATCCAGCCCTCTCCCCATGCCTTTCGCATTATTTCTCTCCTAGACAGTTGAAACAACACTCTTTTGGTCTCCTAACCTCCACTTTTCTCCTCCAATCCATTCTCCAAGAAGAACAGAATGATCTAACTAAAACACAAATTCTGAAGCTACCACTCTCTCTCCTAAAATGCTTTACTTGTCAAAAGACAAAATTACAACAGATTTAAAGATTTTTTTTTTTTTTGAGACAGAGTCTCACTCTGTTGCCCAGGCTAGAGTGCCGTGGCATCAGCCTAGCTCACAGCAACCTCAAACTCCTGGGCTCAAGCAATCTTTCTGCCTCAGCCTCCCAAGTAGCTGGGACTACAGGCATGCGCCACCATGCCCAGCTAATTTTTATATATATATATATGTTTAGTTGTCCAGCTAATTTCTATTTTTTTAATAGAGACGGGGTCTCGCTCTTGCTCAGGCTGGTCTTCAACTCCTGAGCTCAAATGATCCGCCCGCCTCGGCCTCCCAGAGTGCTAGGCTTACAGGCGTGAGCCACCACACCTGGCCTGATTTAAAGATCTTAATTGGCTTTATCTGCAATTCTAAAAATGGGCAACACTTCATTCTATAAAATAGAATAAATGTTCTAATGAGTCCAGCAGAGCAGGTTGGTTTTATAGACGAAAAAAGGGCTAAAAAAAAAAAAGCAGAAACAAAGAATAAAAAGTGGATTGGTCATTTCAAAGTTACTTTCCCTGTAAGGTGAGAACAGGGAAACAGAACAAGAGAGAAATAACTGATTGGTTAACATCAGGTTACTTAAGGTTACTTTTTGTTGTAAGGATTAAAGGCAGATGGAACTTCCTTGTCATGCCAATTAAAGAATAAAACTGGTCAGTTTGGGAAATTAGGCTTTTATCTTTCTTTCCAGATCTCTGAGAAAGTCAGATAACAACTCAGTTTTGGTTTGGTGACCTGAACCTCAACATAAGTGATTCCATTTTGATTTTTAGTCTGGTCTATTGGAGCCTAGTGCAGGAGCTTAGCGCAAAACAATGGCCTCCTGTAATTTTTATGTATTTATTTTTGAGACAGAGTCTCGCTCCGTTGTCCCGAGCAAGAGTGCTGTGGCAATAACCTAGCTCACAGCAACCTCAAACTCCTGGGCTGAAGCGATCCTCCTGCCTCAGCCTCGGGAGTAGCTGGGACGACAGGCGCGCACCACCATGCCCGCGCACCACCATGCCCCCAGTAATTTTTATATTTTTAGTAGAGACGGGGGTCTTACTCTTGCTCAGGCTGGTCTCGAACTTCTGACCTCAAGCGATCCTATCGCCTCGGCCTCCCAGAGTGCTAGGATTACAGGCGTGAGCCACGGCGCCAGGCCACTACTGTTGTAACTAATTGTACAAATGGCTTAATGTCAGTTTTAGCGCCCAGCTCATAAAAGACAGTGGCCTGCTAATTCGTCCGCCTGTTGATCTTGTCAGTGCCTAAGCCGGGTAGGTTAGGGACCAGTCTGTCCTGGCCTCTCACCGCAGCCCCAGTGCGTAGCACACGCCTGCCGCTCTTCCTGTACTCAGTGAACGTTTGTGGAATGACTGAAGAATGCATAAATTAATTATATAACCTTCTTTCCACTCCAGCCGTCAAAAAGCAAGTGGATAGAAAAAGCACTTGAAGGTTTTATCACCTCTTCATTAGTAAACTGCAAACATCCTACAATTAAAAACAACGATGATGAAAAAAGGTTACGTGCGAAGGCAGAGAGGGGAGAGTTGAGATCCCAAAGGCGCAATGTCCATTACGCCTACCTTCGTCGAAGCGAAACAGCAGCCCCAACCGGAGGCAAAGGGAATCCCACTGCAGCCTGCAAAGGGGAGTGGGCGGGCCGGAAAGGTGACCCAGCTGAGCCTGCGCCGGAACGCCACTCCAGCCCCAGGCCGCGCAGCCGCAGGATAAAGCAATCCCGGGCAGGGGGCGGGACGGGGGCGGGACCTCACTCGGGAAGGGAGATCGCTACTCGTCAGGAGGCGGAACTCAGGGCCGCTTAGCACAACTTATTGGTCCTTCTGGGGACGGACAGCTCTCGCTGAGCAGCTGTAGCTCAGATGGGGCGCTACGCTGTGGCCGCGAGAGGCGAGAACTACGCATGCGCATCGAAGTTTTCCCGCCAGCACACCCTTAATGCGTGGTGGGTGGGGGTGGGGAGATTGAATGTCCACGATGGGTCCAGCCCACGGACTCTGAGCAAGATTCCTGAGTTTCCTCCTTAGGGAACCTCAGGATAGGGAACATCCAGTACCCAGTAGCTGCCCCCTGGGAATCCCAGTGTTTACTGGCTCCTACCTCATTTTGTCGTCCTGGCTGTGTCCCAACGCTTTCTGAGACTGGGTTGTTATGATGGTGAATTATTCAAGAAGCCCTGCAGCCTGACGCCATCTCTAGGCAGTGCCTCTCCCTCTTCTCTTCCCTGGAGGGCACCAGGTTCCCCGCACAATCATAGGGTCCTAAATCTGTTTACAAAGCCCCTCTCTGCCACTTTAGTAACTTAAGGAGTGTTTGTTGAGGACCTACTGTGTGTTAGACGCAGTCCCTAGTCTTGAGAGCTTACATTCTATGGGACGACACAAACATATAACAAAAAATAAGATAATTTTAGTTAGCGTTAAGTGCTCAAAACATGGAGATATGATAGAACGATTGGGATGGGGATGAGGTGCTCACTGAGGTCAGAGTGGAGCTAAGACCTAAATTAGGTGAAGACATCAGCCATAGCGACAGAGTGGTGCTTGGGAGAGAGCAAGACCAAAGGTCCTTGTGCTGCAAGGCAGTTTGGTTGGAGCAGAGGTGGGCCAGATTGTACTTGACCATAGTATCTGAGCATTTGGAGATTATTCTAAATATAATGGGAAGATATTAAATTTAGAGTATTTTATTTTATTTTATTTTTGAGATAGAGTCTTGCTGTGTCATCCTGGTTAGAGTACAATGGTGTGATCATAGCTCACTGCAACCTCAAACTCCTGGGTTCAAGGAAGGGATCCTCCCACCTCGGCCTCTCAGAGTGCTAGGATTATGGGCATGAGCCACGACTGCCCCCGGCCTAGACAGAGTCTTGATACACATGATTTATCATTACTTTGCTGAGTGGAGAATGGATTGTTGGGAAGAGTGGAAATAGATCAATTCTGAGACTATGAAAAGAGGAAATAACTTGAACTAAGTAGGTGGGGAGATGGTGAGACATGGAAGAATTCAGTATAGGATTGGGTGCGTTGGATGAGGGAAGTCAGGATGATTCCTCAGCTTTTGGAATGTACAAATGGGTATGGTGGTACCATTTATTGAGATGGGAACAGTGGAAGAAAGAACAGATGCTGAGGGTGGGATCAAGAGTTCAGTCATGGCTGGGCGTGGTGGCTCACACCTGTAATCCTAGCACTCTGGGAGGCCAAGGCAGGTGGATCGCTCAAGGTCAGGAGTTCGAGACCAGGCTGAGCAAGAGCGAGACCC